TTACTTTTCCTGCCTAAATATACATCATAAATAGTGACTTACTTACCTACTTTGTATTACAGTTCATCATTATCATCATCACCAGCCTGTTTGTAACCACTAGCACTGCTGGACGCTATAGCTGGACGCGCTTCTTACGCGTCTCCAATAGTACACATATAAGAAATTTAACTAATGCTGTCGTTTTATACCAATGATGTTGCAATTTACATTATCCCATAAAAAGTAGAAAGCAATTAGATACACTTAATTTATTCTACGAATATTGTACTATTAAACTCGCCGTAACGCAAAAATGGCGCGCACAACCCAAGCTTTTAAATCCGTCAAATTTTGAAAATAGAATTCAATGTCATAGATATTTTTTACTGGCCAGTTATTTTACAAGCTGCCAGTTGTATCTTTCATTTATTTTAATTAAAAATATGCACTTGAGATCACTATTATTTTATTGTTATTTGCACTCAGATAGGTGCATAAACACGATCGTAACTATTAAAAACAATAATCCGCTCACAGTTCACTGTTACTGTGTACATAGGTAATAGGTACGGATAAATACGATTGCAAAACAAACAACTTCCTAACGTAATTATCAAATCGCTTCCTAACATTTCTTTTATTTCCTCCGTTCGTAGCTACTCCGATAATATAATTCCAGGTAAGATAAGGCATTGTCAACAAATACTGAAATAGGTACAGTAAAACGAAGGTGAAAAAGATCCCGGTTAAAAATGTGGCTAACTCGTTTATCTATTTGATTCACAATCAGTTTCGATAAAAATCTACTCAATATCTAGCCAACTATCATTATCTATTTATGACCAATTTAACTGATATAGACACCTATAGGCAAGTAGGTGTTATAGAAGCCCATGGCTACTTTTATCAAAAACTAATTCTAAAATTCTTAAAAATGTAGAAGGTGATTTTTTATAGCATACCTACTCGTTCAGGGAATTTCTGTCGGTCAAGGTATTCCGTTTCTGAAAAATGATACAATGTTTTATTGATTAGGTATTATTTATTATTATCGTTAATACGATTAAATTGAGAAATGACAAGGATAAATTTATGATCACATAATCTCCTTTGTAAAGTCCCCATCGTAAAAACTGCAACGCAATTGAAACTCAAATACAAAGAAAAATGCATTAGTATCGAAATTAAAAAAAAAAACATTTTTCATTACATTAATACATAAACATATACATAGGAGTCTGGGATTAAAAACCTTACATGCAGACACCATAAATCTATGAATTTTGCACGTAACATCCGTTATATCAATCCCTAACAATGTGTACAAACATTTTACAACCGCATTAATTATAAATGACGATCTGTCTCTGTAATAACTTGACAAAAAACCCTCAGACAGTAGTGAGAATATAAATGCTGAGATCAAACAGATCACAATCATTGTTAAACAGATCACAGTGTAGTGCGGATCGCAGTGATCATGAATATCTTGGTGAGCGTTATTTATTTTTAAGTGCAGTGAACTATCTTCAGACTGTTTACCGAACGTTTTTTAAAACACACTTTAATAACCATTTTTAGCAAACCAAAACAAAAAATCGTTTCGTGTAACCAGTAAAAATAACGCTAGATAGTTATTGAAAAACTTTTCGTTTTTGTCTCTGGTTGTTTTTTTTTTATTGTAACGAACATGAGCTAATGTATTAATAGTAGGTATTATGCCAAGCAGTTTAGTAGAAAAGTGATATTTTTTTTATTAAAATAGCTAAGATGAAATGTCATACTTAATAGGGAGGCAAACATAATGTTTCATACCAACTTAATTTTTATTCTAAAGTTTTACATCAACCCCCAGCCGAATATAGAACAAATAGGCTCGATAAATCAAACGCGTACAATCTGAAATCCAAGATAAAACTATGATGATATGAGCGGTTTCTATTATAGATCATTAATTACTATATCACAATGATTAGATTTTAACGATAACATATCTTCAGGATTGTTAAGATTTTAATCAAAGATAGTATTGGGCTTTCAATCTTGATATTGTTATCGTTCTTGAATATCTAGTAATTAAATTGTAATACATTACAGTTCGGCACTATGATCAATATGCCGACAGTATATTTTTAAATGATTATCATCCGAATTTAAACTAAAAAACTGATATTCTATTACATAATATTATTTCTAAGAATAACCAGCAAAATATTGAATAAATATAACTATAAATAATTCGTAAAGTAGTAATTTATCGCCATGTGATACCTCTGCATGGCGCTTCCCTATCATTCTAAGGCGCCTAGTTTATTTCGAGATCCCAAGATAAGTTGCCATTATCCTAAATGCTAATAGAAAAGTAATGTTTGATTGTATCTTTCTTTTAATTTTATAAAACAACCTTCAAACGGTTCAAGTCCATTGGCAGTTGCGATAGGCTTACACTTCAAATATGTTACTTGTGTGTATCTTTAAAATTAAATAAGTACCGGTAGATTTATTAATAAAAATACTTTAAGGAAAACAGTGAAACAAGAACTTATCTACAGTGAATCATTAATGTTTTCGTAACATATGAAGTGCATTTCAAATTTTATGATAAAATCTTTTTAATAATTTTGTTTTGTCATCATTGAATTGCATAATCAGAATTTGATTTGGTAGGTATGTATGTTCGTATTTTTATTAATTCCTCGTCCTCTCCGATGATTGAGGGTGATTGTAGGAATGATTTGTTTGTGCATAAATGGTAGGTACGTACCTATGCGTCTAAAAGTAAGACCTTGGGTACTAACTAAACCCTTTAGATAAAATAACCTAATAGACGAAGAAGCTGTTAAAGTGTTGAACAGTTTCTTTATTTTGTTACTTCAATTTAAGAGTTAACCATTCTAATTTTATCGAACATTTATCTACCAATATTGGCCTCATGGTTAAATCAGAAGCGATTCCTAGTCATAAAATAATCCTTAGAAAGGAAACAAAGAACATTTGTGTAAAGCAAACTTAGCCTCGGTTATAGCGAAACTTAAGGAAGAGTAGTGTGAGGACATGCATTGTTAAGTTTAGTTTAAATTGGTACCTACATACATTGAGCAATGTGCCTTTGTTCTCAGTTACGAATGAATTAACTGTCGAGCTGTGGAGCAATGTGTTTCGTTAACATTATAGATGATGTATTATTAAATCAAACTAATTACTTTGTTCTTTTTATTTTGTAAAGAATATTTAGCAATATTTGTATGAATGATACCTTGATATACATTAGTTTTTCCAATATTCTAATTACGTGTCGTGACAATAATTGCCTTCGACCTTTAAAAATATAAAAATAACACACAATTATATTCTAAGGGCCACGTGTTAAAAAAGATGCTCTATTATGGATGGGATACACCCACACCAAATTTTTTACCATCGTCGTATTTAAATAACACTGATAAAATCAAGGTGATTAAACGCAGCGATGGTTAATTAGACCTTTTTGCTTTTTTTAGAACATTATTTTGCTGTCATGTTCTTTGGCCGTGACCATCGCTCAAAAAGTGGGAGACACGAGCAATGACATCATAGATGGACAGAGACGGAGTACCGGAGGCTATGGCCTTCTGAGACCTGGCTATAACCAGGGTCTTGGAGGCTATAACAATTACAATAACTACAATGGCTACGGCGGTGGCTTTGGACAAGGATATGGTGGAAATCAAGGCTTTGGTGGACCCGGTTTTGGATCATATCCGGGACAGAGCGGGTACCCTGGTGGTTTTGGAGGTTAGTATAGCTAAATTGTTAAGTCTAATGAAAAAAACATTTATACATACATTAAACATTACCAATACAATATTGTTCTTAATAGCATTAGGAAACCATCAATTAAATAAATTAATAGTTAATATAAGATAAGCCCTAAATATCTAGTACATCAGATTATTATATCTGAGCAAATACTTCGAATTAATTGGATAATCACTAACAATTGATTACATACTATAATTTGTGTTTCTAGCCGGTGGAGGCGGCTACGGTGGTGGCTATCCAAGCGGCTATGGCGGCTACGGAGGCTATAACCAAGGATATCCGGGATACGGCGGGAATGGTAAGCACGGTTAACTGAATATAATGGATAGTATGCACATATCTATGGATGCCTATACAAATTGTACATAGGTAGCTATTTATGCATAGTTAAGTCTTGATAAAGACATAATTATCTAGTAGTAAATTAGTTATTACCTAAATAGGTTCAAAGAAAGGCGAACTTGACTGAACACCTGGTACACATTGTATTGTGTCTAGTATCTACAAATGACGACCCAATTACTTACCTTAATTAGATTGATAAGACTATCAATAGAATACTGCTATGTAGGTATTCAATCTTTACAGCATAATTAAATGATTATGGGACGACGTGGTCCATCGTAGACCGCATCATCGCTTACCACCAGGCAAGATAGAGGTCAAACGGCGGCCCATCAAATATTAAAAAAAAAAACATAATCTAAGTAGGTAACTTAAAAAACTTATCAGAAAGTACTTTCCGGTTTCAATATAGGTACCTACAAGTAATTATACCTACTACTTGAGTTAAGTACTTGTGGACTTTAAAACGCATTTATCTATAAACACGATCTTGAGAATTTTGCCGTCAAACGACAGCCGGTCGTATAAAAATTTAATGAATCATACTAGTGAAAAACAATCACGTATTTATGAAGTCACTGACCAGGGCGAGCGTCCGTCGCACTTTATACATTACACGTTAGGTAGGTACACGATACAAATTACATAAGTATTTTTTATCATAAGTAGCAAATTATCTGCATGCCAAATCTTAACGGCTTTAAGATCTGACGTCATAAGAAAAGGGGCATTTTACTGCATCCTTTTAGGTACTGTATCTATGTATACCATGTAATAGCTACAGTTATGTTACACATTTAAACTGTCAAATACCAAGCGGTCACCGGTGACCGCAACCTATTGTTCTATAATTGTGTCTGCAAAACCGGTACTCGACGAGTTAAATACTAAAAAAAACGCCATAATAATGCATCAATAATATGGACTAACTTGGTCCAGCATGTTTCTGCAATTTTATTTAAGTACATTATTCAATTATACCGAACTGTTTAAATCCCCTGGGTTTCGACTTTATTCGAACCATCTACTTATTTTACATAAATAACTTATAACAGACAATGGATTCCATTAATTTACTGGCCAGTTTATATTGCACTAGTCTTTGAACACTCTCCCCTTTCAAGAGGGATCAGATTTCAATGGCCTTTGAAGCCAGATACCTTTGACTCGCTACATGGAATACTAATCATTTGAGACGAAGTACACTGGTTTTTAACACAAGTAAGGGTTGAATGGCTTTAGATACTAAAATGGTTTTAGTTGAACCTATTAGATATTAAATTAAATTATTTTCGACAACTAAAGAGACATTTTAATTTAGATATCATGTTTATCGCAATCCTTAACTAATACGTTACTTATAGGTATTCCTACGATTTTCAACAACAGTTTATTATTATTATTAATTTTTTTACTCAAATGTTTGTCTCTTGATTTTCTGTCATCAGGTTTCCGTCCAAACAGGCCAGGATTTGACTACAACCGGCCAAACACCTACCCGGGATATTCTGGGACCAACTTAGGCTACCCTGGCAGTTACCGACCCGGTTACAGTAACCAGTACAGGCCCGGTTTGGACCGGCCATACTCTGGAGGACCTGCTGGCAACTACTTCGGAGGCTACGGAGACGGTTATAGCGACAACTTCAGATATTTAGGAAGAAAAGTAGGAGAAATCAAAGAGAGTGACGAAAAGTCGTAATTTATTATTTGTAGTAAGTTATTAAGCTTAAGATCTGATTATTTTATTGTGTTGCACTGACTCTGTATTATTAAAATTATTATTTATAGTTTAAATTGATTTTTATTTCGCAACCCTATTAATTAAGTCTATTGGTTATTGTTTTTATGAGGAAAACTATGTAAAGATAGAGGAAACACATTGCACCAGCAGTTTTTATAATTATGTGACTCCAACTAAATAAAGACAATTAAGCGATAAATTATAAGCATTTCAGGAAATGCCGAAACACTACACGAACTATGATTTACTGATTGTTTCCGGTTATTTAAATAATTAGTGCACTGACTTAACTAATGAATAAAGGAGGTTGTTTCTTTAAAAATAGCTCCCTTTATCAGTGACAAACAATAGGTAGCTACATACTTACTCTTGTCTCTATTGTACGTATGTATAAAATCCTGTGGAACAAATGGTGGGAACTTTTTCGAAGACAATTTAAATCACCTGTTTATAATTCCGCACCCTTTTTCTGTGATGTCAATCTGGCATACATTACTCGTTGCAATAACACAATAAACCAGTTCGGCGATCCGCATCGCTGGTCCTACCTCAACCGTTTGCATAACAATTATTCATTCAGGGACAAATAAAAATGTGGAGTCTTTACGTGTACTTAATTTTATATCATAAGTCAACTTTTAAATACAGAATACTAAAATAACATTCATTATACCTTTTATGTTTCAAGTAGCTTCTGCCCGCGGCTTTTCCTTTTCCCGTGGTTAAAAAGTCCCAATTTCATCCCGATCCCTTCAGCCATTTCCACGTAATTGAGTTACAAACATATACACACACTAGTAAAAGACTAGTAAAGGTAGAATAATTACATAATTTGGTCAAAAGTGGGTGCCATATTATAGATACCTATATATATAGGTATGTATGCATCTCTGCCTACTCCTTTGGGGATAAGAAGGCAAAACGTAATATAATAGGTAAGGTTACTCGCATGAACAAAGACTCAACATTCTTCTTCCGCATAATTATCCTTGGAAATCTATTCTTGATATCCTGATGTCGAAGGCCTTTTGTATGACAAGATCTCTTCGTCATACAAATCTGTAGTAATCGCATGATATTAACTAACTGATCTACCGTACAGCCTACGATATCAATGGGAAATACCAAACAATCTAATTTAATATTCATATTTCGAAATCAATCTTGTGTCAGGACATTTTTATTAAAACCATTTGCAATTTTATGAGGATACAATGGCAGAAATCGGTGCTGATAAATGATTAGTACTAATACTGATAGATGATGAGTAGGAAACTGCAATTACCTCTACAAATAATATTCATACATTAATATGCATGCATTACCTCACGCCTGTCTCCCTTGGGGGTAGGCAGAGACTAGGAATCCTCAATTGCTCCGATTCTTACATACCTCTTTTGCTTCCTCAACAGTCATCAGTCTGCTCATGCATGCTCGTCGGTTAAGGGTACTTTTAATTCGGCCTTTCTCTAATATATCGCCAATCTGGTCTATATATGTCCGACTAAGGTGCCCTCTACCGATGCTTTCATTCATATCCTCTCTGTATACTTCTTTCGTAAATCTACTTTCTTACATCCTTATTATATACATTAAATAAATGTTGATGAATAAAAAATACTTTTTTTTCAATTCCCATAATATATTATTTAAACGCTTTAATAATTAACATACATAAATCTATTATTATAATAATATTAATGAAAATACAAATAAAAATAAATAAACTTAGTGATTAAATAACATTAGGATCCGCTGAACCAATCAGAAGAAATCGAATTGAAGAAGGAAGCTGCGCCTGAGCGCGCATTCGCGAAGTTTATAGGCAAGGAGCTAGTCATTAAATCGGATATGTTATCTGACTTAGATTTGTTAGGGCTTGAAGATATTGGCTTCTTCTTTACCTGTAAACAAGAATATTTTGTTAATTATATTGTACATGAGTTTTAAGGCGATTAACACACAGTTGCAACTAATAAATCCGCACCGAACGGTTAAGCGGTGCATCTTTCGACTCCCGCGCGGCGGTGCGCGATATCGTGTGATAATCGTCTTTATGGGACCTTTACAGGGTAAAAAACCAGAGTAACACAACTTATTAAGTAGTTTTCTTCATAAAATATGCGACAGTGATGACATAAGCAGTAGGTTTATGACAAAATTTGTTATTCAATGATCAATATCTATAGTTGAGTATGTCAGATCATTATCTTGCATTCGGTTATAACAAACAAACACGGTCATGGTGAATAACTAATGCAAGTTAGTAAGTTGGTCTGTTTTAATGTAAGTTTTAAACAATTTCATTTTAATGGAAGCGCTTTTCCTTGCTCTATTAGTGTATTAATAGTGGAACAAAAAAATTCATTTTGATACTGACAATGTTGAGGGTCAATAGCATTATGTTTAAACAAAAAATGCTTTTTGGTAAACATAAGTCATACTGGTTCATTGTTATATTGCAGTTTAAGTATTAATTTAAAAATTATCTCCTGTGTCATAGGCACGTTTACAACAAATTCGCAATTCACCCAGACCCGAAACAAAAAATTGTGAATTACACAAAGAGTTGCTCCATGCTGGGCTAGAACTTTACATGGTGGAAAAGCAAACAATAATAAATTTATGAGATATAAACAACACACTGGTTTTAATGTCAGGCGAAAAAACAAGGACACTGAGAACACCGGTTAAACAAACACTAAAATTAGAATAATTAATAAATAAAACAAAACATTAATTCATACCAGTTCACAGTATGAAGAGGTGTTCATTCTGAACAATAAACAATTAAATTAAAATATAGAATTCAGTCAGTGTGTCGTGATTCACTGCTAGACATCTTTGTACACAGTTGCACAACAGCGCCACTTAATGTGAACCAAATGCAAATAGACTAAATAACAAGTTTTGTGTGTTAAAATTATTTTATATGCAAAAATTTTCATATAAAATTTTGCACAGTTCGATATTTCCTATTTATGAAAACAAAACACACAAACCTTCAAGTCATATCTATGTAAGTAGAAATTACTAGATTTATAAATCAATTTGTTGAAAAAACTTCTAGAAGTACAGATAAGCACCAACAAAAGATTTTTCGAAATCGCGACGGTATTAACAAGAATAAAATATGGGACAATCCTTTCTTTTCTTTATTTTTTTTTTATAGATACTTACAGGTTTATCCTGTTTCTTGAGGTGGCTAGGGGGTGCAGCTACGGGTAGCAGTGAGAACCAATTGGAGTCTCCGGAAGCCAGGAGTGCGGCCGCCTTGTCTCCCGTACCGCCTGACAGTACGGGCTTCGTTCCAATAAACGCTGTCAGTTGACCATGGTGCAATATCAGGCTGCCTAGTAAAGTCTGTAAACATTTAGCAGTGTTGTAGAAGGTCCACAAATATTACCAAAATGAAGTAAAGAAAAACATCACGAGGAAACCTGAACGTAATTTCAGTCTAATATCAGAAATATCCAATCTGCCTTGAGTAAGCGTAGGTAGTGGTTGCCCATTCCTTCTCCGTAAGAGAAGAGGCCTTTGGCTAGCAGTAGGGCAATTACAGGCTGATAAAGATGAAGAATATATTTAAATAGCTTTCGTTTCTTTCAGCTTCCTCCTGTTTAGTGTTTTAAGAAAGAATATACCTTACTCAAACAAAAAGTTCGTTATTTATATACCCACTATTAGGTATTATTTGTTAAAAGAAAATTATTTAACTAACCTGAACTCTTTGCACAGATCTCTTCAAGCTAGTTTGTATATATTTGTAGAACACGTCATAGTCGAACGGATCAATTTTCTGCCTCAAAAACTCGCATATTCTGACGGACTGCTCCGTAAATACCTTATTTTCTCGAGGCACTAATAATAGGGTCAAATGCCTTACATCCATTAGCAGTTGAAGCGCACATCTTTGATTTATATCTGCCTCATTTTCTCTTATGACTTTCTCGTAGTGAGTGAAAGTGATAGCTATAACTTTCTCAATAAATAATGTATGTGTTTCTATTGGTAGTGTATGTGGGACGACTTCGTCAAGTATTCGACTTGTAGCATACAAATATTCCTGCAGCTTGAGAGACGGACCTGCGGGGACTTTGATTGTAGACTCTATTGGATTGCCTTCTTCATCCTTTTCTTCGATTTTGATGACATCCCATTGCTGTACAAAAATTAATTACATATTTTTAATTGTATTATATCAGCTATGAATAATTCAGACGACTTTTAAGAACTTACCATCATTAAATAGTCAATATTAGCCTCCAAAGTGAATGCTTGCGGTAAATCTTTTGTCAAGTCTTCAACCTTGGTGATCACAATGTCCACCCATTTGCCCCAACAGTACTGGCAATGTTCCTTTAATACCACATACAAATCATTCCACCTCTTCAACGCATTATCGTCTATATTTATAACTCCCAAACTATCACGTTCTTCAGGAATATAGCACTTGCGTAAATGAGGCATAAGGGCGGATATAGCTTGGGTGAACCTCGCAGTGTATATTGCAGTAGTCTTCTTTTGCAGTTCACTGGATTGCAAAGTTGGTTCTTCGAAGCAAGCTTTTATGTATTGCAGCATACTGTTGAGGAAAAGTCATTGAAAATTTACTACATACTATTAGAAATACTTTAAAAACTATAAAATTAGCTACACAATATCAATTATTCTAGCTTATAACAATAGCCTCAAAGTTTTGTTAGAAAGCAAGCCTAAGAAAGTCGTTTACGTCACCTAAAAATTAATTACACGTGCACCTACCTCTGTATATTGTTATCGGAAACATCTCTCAAATACATCTCGATTAGATGTTTATCGCTGTATATTTGATCTATATCATCGTCGTCCTCATACGCAAACAGAAGCTTATCTTTGTTGCCGACACTCTTCTTATCTTGATACAGGTAGACCCTCAAGTCTTCCAGAAGTTTCTGTAGCTCATCGTCCAAACTCTGGCATAGTTTTTCTAGAGTTGGAGTGTAACCGCGATCTTGACGAGCCATACCTATAGAAAATAAAGATAAATTTAATCACTGATGTCATACTTATTTTAAGACAAGAGACAAATACCTAATTGATGAGACTAGAGAAAAGAGAAGAACTGTAAGAATAGTTACCTAGGCCTTTTGGGAATGAATAGCTTAATTAAGTATTAAAATAGTTATAACAATGAATTAAATGTGCAATGTGCATTAACTCTTGCAACATACATTCATACCACTACTTATTAATCAAATTGCTTTCAAAGTTCGCAAAGTTCTTTGAACCAAGCTTTACTACATCTAGTTTAAACTTTAGTCCAAAAGATATTACATACATATGTCACAATATATCATAATACATCAGATTACGTAACGTTTCATCACTTTAAACATAATAACCTTGCTGTTTCATGCATAGGTATGCAATATTTCACTGCGTAGGTAGAACACTCCCAAATTAATGGTGATAAGCTTATTATACATATTATGATACGAGTTGGGAGGAAGTTGACCTGCTTTTTCCTCAGTTTCTTTCCATAGAATCCCAAGTAGAATATTATTCCAGTACTATCGACACTTAAAGCTATTCTAAAAAGCAAAATCATCTGTCATTGAGTGCAGTAAGTGTCATAAAAGACAGCACTGAAAAAGTTAGAAAGGTACCGAAGAACCTAGAATACGGAGTCATGAGTAATTCAAAGAAATCATAGATAGAAATCAGCATTATTAAATACCATTAAAACCACACCATTTATATAAATGCAGTTATTTTGTCAACCATGCGGGTACTAGTGGGGTGTTTGATTAATGATAAAATAAAATCACACATCAAAAGTTTACCACCTAAAACGTGATCGAGATTTGCATTGCGATATCGATAAAGTCCTAAATTTAACTGTTCGAGTACACAGACGATACGATGAATATTCTGAATATAGATATTCCAGAATAATAATCGATTCTAGATCAATATCAGCTGAGATAAAACCACAGCTATATTAATAGCGGCGATCAGAGATGTTGTCATGATGAATGGCGCTCTCCTTATCCATTAATTTGATTCAACAGGATCGATTCGTACGAGATACGATCTTTATTATATTATCGTAAGGTTTACATCAAAATAAGTGATAAATAATTACCTTATTATAATCACTGTGATAAGGATAACTGTTCCAAAGGTTTACAGGTTTTTTCTTGGAACTGGAAATTACATTGCCTTCATTGCTGCTAAGGACAAGGATTGTTTGCGACCTTCTCCTTGTTACTTTAATTGCCTTCTTGAACCGGATTTCGTAAGCTTTTTACTGTTTCGCAAAAATGACTTAACGGCATAAACTCATAAGCGTTTCGAATTACTAATCTCTGAGATAACGCCACACCTTGCGTCCTTAGTAAAATCCAAAGCTCCTTAACTTAACACTCATTCTCAGAATAGCTTAAAACTCAATGTCATGAATTTAGTCCAAATAGAGCCCATGGTTGCAAAAACCAAATATAGTCCTTAAGCGTCATACAATCGCCAGTCCATCAGCCACCCACCAATGTGAATTGCACGTGACCAAAGTACGCGACCCTGAGCACGCATACTAACGCAAAACATTATATCAATTCATAAATACTATGAAACTAAGCAGTCTAACGATAATTCCCAATTCTAAGAAACCGTCTCACAATCAAGAGCTAAGTCCTTTATAATATGTAGAACATATTTTGATAAATATTTGACAAACAAAACTAGACTACTGGTGTTACACGTATCATAGACAAGATAAAGTTGAATGTCGTAATCGATCAGTGTCGCCTGCGCAGCTTACTGTGGCTGCGTCAAATAATTTATCAATTTCTAAGAAATTATTACCGGTTATCACCTGTTTGTTCAGTAAATATTACACCAAGTGTTACATGTAATTGGTACTTACGTTAATTAATGTTTTACCTACATGGTAAACATGTGCCAACATAGATAGGCATGTTTGGTCTAATTAAACAAATTGAATGTCGTGGTGGCCCGGAGGTTTAAGACGCCCGCTTCTCATGCATGAAGGTGTGGGTTCGAAACAACTATTAACGGCAAGTACCCTTGTGACTTTTTCCAAGTTATATTAGTTATATACGATTGTACTTTCTTAGATTATCTAGACACCACTGACAAACGGTGAAGGAAACCATCGTGAGGAAACGTGGGCTTATGATTTCTAATTATAAGTTTGTAATCGCCAACCCGCATTGAGCAAGCGTGGTGATTAATTCTCAAACCTTATCCGTGTGAGAAGAGGCTTTGCTAGCAGTGGACATTTATACGATGATGATGATGAAACAAATTACCTACTTTATCTTTTCTGTTTCAAAACTTCTAGAGCTTTCATATTAGGTACTGAACTTGAACATTTTAATTATTTCTTTATTTATTGAATACTTCTGCACATAATTATTACGGCGGACTTAATGCCTAGGGCGTTCTCTACCAATCTACCTTAGAGTAATACATAGACATGACATGGTAGGTGCATAAGCAGTAGGTAATGCAAAATGATTATTAATTAACCTAACATATATCATAGCTAAGAAGATTATACGTTTAATAATCTTATTAGGGTACATTATTTAGATGCACTAATCTGATACTCTGATAAAGTATAAAAATGTAAAACAAATGCATTAAAAATTCCAAAAAAAAATCTGGACTTTTCTTTTTCGTATTGATGCGTCACAAACCAATCGCATTCCATAGATAGGTACCTACGTACACGTAGGTTTAATCACTAATGTAAGATCTAAAGCCTGTATAGCCTATTTAGATATAAGATTATAGTCCGTTTACGACCAAAAAAATATAAGTAAACGGATTTTCTTCGTTTTTGTTTAAATCTAGAAGGATGTGAAGAGCCGACAACATCATTCAGACTTTTAATTCATATTTAATGAATTAAAAGTCTGAATGATGTTGTCGGCTAACCATTCAAATTGTTGCACTACTTGTTCACTTGATTTGAATAGAATTTTACTATGGGGTGGATTGTCTTTCAGTGTGGACGACTAAGGGTGATGATAATGACGGTCTGTACTATAGCTTTAAGTGTGGGAGAGCCCTGCTTCGACACGAATGGGCAGGCTCGAACGGGCCCAATTACCAATTACAAACCTAATCAATGATCTTATCAATGTTTTTGCTATTGTAAACCTTAGTAAAATCCCAACCTACTTACTACTTAGAGGTAGCAAAGCAACAATATACGGATGAAATAACTCGCTATTTTAATATAAAATAGGCAATCATATGAAAAGTTAATTCGAAAGTAGCGCAAGTAGGTGCATATTCTATAACGTCTTTAACTCTTTGTAACTAAGTCGAAAATTGATTGAAAAAAAATTAATGTAGCTTGGTTGCACATCGACTGTACGATTCGCAAACATTTCTTCCACACAGTGATTAGGGTAAATTAGAAATTATAATACGTTATCTAGTTACTGCAACGCGAGATATGACTTGTCATTTGATCAGGCATATCGTCATACAGTGATTCACGATTTATTACAACAGGAAAATACCAACAAAACCTTGCAATGTCAATAGTCTAATTTAGATTACTCATTTTAGCGTCACACCTCCGCGGTCATCAGCGGTTGTGCAATGAACTCCCCGGTTCGAGTTGTTAAAACTATTGATTACAAAATCTTGTTGATTTTAAAATCTTTCGGGTAGCTTCAGCTCTCAATGTGTACAGTCTATCGTGAAATTAGAGATGGGCCTACTACAAGTACATACATTAGTAGTTTGTCATTATCCCTACGCATGGTAACTGTTTTTTTAAGGGTAAGGGCAATAACAACGCCATAATAGTTGCCAGTAAACATAATTATTAATTCTATGCCATTACTGGGGATGCATGAAAAGACTGATGACTGATGATGAATCAAAAGAGGTACGTAGGAATCGCATCAATTGGCGTTCCATAGTCTCTGCCTACCCCTATGAGAGTGAGGTTATATATGTATGTACTGGGGATTCTCTGTATATCGATTCTGAATGTGAAGCCACATTCAACATAAATACATAACTAAGTACTAATCTTTTAAGTAAAATGTTTAGTACTTAAATGATATCGTTTTACATCCGGCTTTTAATTTAAGGAAAAATATAAGGAAAATCTTTTGTGTAATTATCTAACAATATATGGACACAACTGACGTAATATATATCTAATATGCAGATTGTACAATTGCATGAAATATGTATTAATCATTTTTTTTATCAGTTATCAGTGAAAGTTACCATTTTGATTTCCACGAAAGTCACCCATCATACATACATACATAACTTCACGCCTGTCTCCCATGGGGGTAGGCAGAGACTAAGGAACGCCAATTACTACGATTCTTACATACCTCTTTCGCTTCATTAACAGTCATCAATCTTTTCATGCATGCTCGTCGGTTAAGGGTACTTTTAATTTGGCCCTTCTCTAATATATCGCCAATCTGGTCACTATATGTCCGTCTAGGGCGCCCTCTACCGACGGCCCCATTCATATCCGCTCTGTATACTTCTTTCGTTACTCTACTTTACCCATCAATTACGCTTTTTATCGCGTTTATTGTCTGAATATTTCTATAAGATAGAAATTTACTTCAGAACCCGCCGGTTTCAAATTAAGAAGATTTGCCTCCAAACAAAGCGAGCAAAGCTTAGTGTTAAAACTCACCTTTCATAAGGGAATTCATGACCTTAATGACATCAGCTCGAGATTCTATCACCGTCTCTCCAATGAGGTCCTTCCACACGAACCAATTGATATCAGCCTCCTTCTCCACTTCACTGTCTGAAGATACCTTCGTAAGATCTATCAGGAGTTGAGTTTTGAAAGCGTCATACACCTTGACCCACCGTCCGTCTATAATTGACTCGACGCGAGAGGTCAACAGAGGCTGGTAGTAGTGGCACCATACATGGACTTCTGGTATATCTAAAGATGTGCATATTGTGGACCAGTTTGAAGGAGTTTCTGTAAGAATAATATGGAAGAATTTTTAACCGTCCCACAAACCAAACCTTTAATAGCATTTATTAATGAAAATCTATAATCATAATTTATTATTGAATTACACCAGAAAAGATACTTTTTACATACATAACATCACGCCTTTTATCCCCGAAGGGTTAGGCAGAAGTGCACATTATGTCACTGTACAATGTAACACCCACTTTTCACTATTTATGCTTTGAGTCCCATGTAATAGGGGGTGAGCCTATTGCCATATACCGGGCACAATTCCAGACTCCGTGCTACTGAGATTTTTTTAAAACCCAGTAATACTTTGCCCGACCCGCTATGGAACCCGAGACCCCTTGCCCGGCAGTCGCACTTGCGACCACTCGGCCAACGAGGCAGTCAGATACTTTTTATAAAAGTGTAAACCTCAAATGTATCGTCCTTTGGTTACCAATATCAACTTAGGGCCGATTTTTCCAACACTAGATTAATGTTAACTGAGGAATAACTGAACATTTGACATTTCTTCCATAATAAAAACTGTCAAATGTCAATTTTATTCTACAGTTAAAAATTAACTGATGATTGAAAAATCGGCTCTTAGAATCACCAATCAAACTAAACTTACCAATCTTGAACGCCTCCTCTCTAATCTCATGTAGCACTTTGACTCGTGTGATATTCTGTAATAGGGTCTGCACATTGGTCTCTATGAAGGACTTCACCCAGACATTCCAATCCTGAATGCCTTTCGTTATCTCCTCCCTGGCTAGACGTTGCACTTCTTTGTTTGATGAGAGCCTGGTATCAAAGGAATAAATTGTTATGCGCTATTACTTACCCATGTATTCAAATAACCCGAAAAGAGTGTCGAAAGTTATGCCAAGTATTATTTTTTTGTGTGGCGAATATCATACACTGACTTCTCCTCCTCTCCTCAGTTTCACAATCTCGCTTTGACTGAGCCGAGAGTGTCAAACTCTTACTATAACTAAATGACCACCCCGTTCCTACTCGTACTTTGAGCCGGAGTCCCGATAAAAGAGTTCAAAAATAGTATATATGCATATAGAGTTAAAAAAAGTACCTGTAGTTACAAATTGCTGGAGGCAATAGTTTTATAGAGGCCGGGTCACTGAATTTTACCAGTTCGATTAATGGTTGCGAATCTCTTCTGAACAAATCTTGCAACTTGGCTAGAACTGCACCGCCATCTTCATCTGTAAATACAAGTGTATAATATAGTCTGATTGTTTAATATGAGAACGGAATGTATTAAGTGTGAAAGAGCCATGCTTCGGCACGAAAGGGCCGGCTCGACTGGAGTGATACCAAGGCCACACAGAAAACCGACGTGAAACAACGATTGCGTTGTGTTTCGTCGTGTGAGTGAGGTTACCAAAGGCCCAATTAATCCCCAAAAGGCCGGTAACGCACTTGTAACGCTTCTAGTGTTCCGGGTGTCCATGGGCGACGCCGATTGCTTACCATCAGGTGATCCTCTGCTCGTTTGCCGGCTTATCCCATAAAAAAAGGTTTCGATTTCAACATAACCAGCGATATCGTTTACACTTAAATTACGTTCAGTGTTCTGTACATTACTACATTAAATTAAGGACGTAAAGTGAAGGTGCCACAAGTCAATTTTGAGAGATCCATCCTATCCAAAGAGACAACTTTTTGAAATCCCACTTCAAATTTTACTCAGTAATCATCATAAAATTAATTTAACTTACCCACAAAACAAGAATACACCAGCACAACAGTTTTCAAAACAATTTTGACGCCATTTACGATTTTATCTTTAATCTGGGCTTTAACGTCTCCCTCCAAAATGTGCGCCAGATCAAACTGTAGCGTGGATTTGAGGCTACTGTTACTGTGAAGGCCTATTAGAGTGTTCAGCAGCTCCACCATCGATTGGGAGTCCAGTAAGTAGAGGCTGACCAGGCAGGAACAGGCCACCTTGAATGGTTGAATGATACATGTAAAAAGACTTCAAAATAACTGTCAATACCTCAAAATCAAACTAGTTGGAATTTAATGTAGGAGAACCAAGCTTCCCCTAGCATGATACCACGGCCTCACGCACGTACATCCGGCATGAAATAAAGTCAACTTTGCTTCACACCAGCTGAAGAGTAAATCGTAAAAATATGATTACCATAGGCCTAAAATCTCCTCCAAAGGCCAGCAAACTAATAGTGCAGTTTCCTAAATTTTATTATGTTCTTTTGGTAGATTAATTTAAAACATAAGACATTTTCCTTTCTCACTTAATTAAATACTTTCGACAATGCGTGTGACGTCATAGCGTGCTACATTTTGTAGCACGTTGTAACGTAACAACCCCCCACTCCTAGACTTAATGCCATATATATAACTATAGTAATTTTTTTACGAGAAAATAAAAAAAATGTATCTAATATTTTCTCATTATTACGGACTAATTAGATTTTTAATTTTCATGCTCTGGCAACTACCCTATTGTAATGTTAATCTTCTAGTAATTGGTATTTAGGTGATATTCAGTGAAACTCTGTTGTGATTGATGTGATCAACACTAAAACTAAAAACTCAATTATAATAACATGGTATACCTCTACACTAATCTCAACATCTTGTAGCTTCTGCCGGCACTCATCTATAATGGTTTGATTGAAGTTGGCTATGGAGTTCCACTGTTGCTGCACCAGTCTCTGCAAGGACTGCATACCGGGCTTCACATTCTTGCCTCCTATTTGAAGTTGTAGACCTGACAAATAATTACACATTGACATTTTGTACTTGACAATATTAGCAACACAGTCATCATCGTCAGTATCATTTAAATTCCAGTTACTTAACTCTATACAATGAGGTATTAAGAAATAATTACTAAAATCAGTGCACACTAACATTTAATTTTCTATCCTATCCTACATACTTTTTAGTACAAACCTAAAATTAAAATCATACTTTAGGGAACAGAGAGTAAAGTTCCCTATGAAAAGGAGGATCCTCCGACCAAGCAAAGTGTTCCTGCCTGGAGAGCTTTCTGCCCAACGGTTGTTTGTTGGGATTTTCTGTCCATGTTAATTCGCATGTAAACACCATATGTGCGATGTAGGATTTTGTGACGTCATCCATTGATTTGTTTTACATTTATATGCACAAGCTGTCATTTGACATGTGACATGTGTCGCCAGTATACCAACTGGTCTTTTTAAATTTTACATTAATAAGTTTACAATATATTACCTGTATTGATGTGTCTGGCCATTATAAATAGCTGTGTAGCTTTCACATAGTCCTCGGATTCAATACTAGTCCAAATCTTCTCAGGGATTTCCATCAACAGCTTCACTTGTACAGACAAACTGTGCATTGGGTTCACATTGAACTGAAAACTATAGGGAAATGGATCAGACACCTTGAAGTCGATTGATCTATACTTTTTAACATATAAAACTGAAGATTGTCTTTCTTTAAGCGTGCTAATCTCGAGAACTTCTGGTTCGATTTGAATAAATCATTTTGTGTTGGATAGTTAATTTATTGAGGATGGCTATAAAACATGACGCTACCGATGAATAGGAGCCGCGAAACTATGGAGGGTAACAAGTAAAGAACAAGAAAAACTAAATTAACTCCACGGTTGTCATTGTGGCTGCGCAATTGTTGTTCAGCGTCTGGGTGTCATGTGTATGTGAACTTGTATGTCTGTAAACGCACCCACGACATAAGAGAAAATTCTAGTGTGGGGCAACATTTTATTAAATATAAGCACTTGACTACTTACTTTTTAGGTCTTGCAAGTTTGTCATCAACTTTAAATCCACCTAAATTTGTGCTGTGCAAGTTTTTGCAGGCTGTCATCATCTCTGTAATATGGTTCAGAGTACTACCAGTGGTTTCCTTCATCTCTTCAATTGTATCAGCTGCGTGGATGAGGTCTCTGTATCTTTCTCTGAAATCATTACAATTATGTTTTGTATTAGATACTGAGATATGATTAGATATATGATCAACAAAGTTTATAGATATTTGAACTTGATTGACTACTTTGATTAACTTAAAGATATTGGATAAAATATCTATTTAAAGAGTGAGAAAAACAAGAACAAATATAACTCGAAACAACATTAAATATTATGTTGTTCATGACACTTACCCAACCATGGCCCGCAATTCTTCTCGTTTCCTTTCAATCTCATATTGCAATTTCTTTTGTACCTGGTCTATATCACTAATATAATGCGCTTGAAACAATTGATCAGGAACTATGTCCAATAGGTTAGGTTGAGACATTTTGCTGGCTCAACAGTCGACGTCTAATAACAATAAGTTTCCAATTATTTTACATAACGATAGCACTATCACTAGCGGAGTCAATTATATTATTTTCAGCGCTTTTCTTTATTATTTCGGAAAAATGTATGTAAACAAATGGATTATTTTGGTTGCCAAAATGCCAACACAGCCGTTGTCAACAATGTCAACGTCAACGGTATTAAACTGTCAATTGTCAAAAATATTTACAGGTTGCTTTTTACTACCTATAGTCGTCACTCGGTTGCGAAAAAGGAAAAAAAACAATACTATACTCGTCTAAAAATAATTAATTAATTTGTGTGTGGAATAAGAATCACAAAAACAAACAAAAAGCCACCATTTACAACCTTTACTCATTAATTTACAAATGACACACTTCTAACTAAAACACCGACCTCATAAACAGGGCCGTGTTAGACTACACTAGGGCCCATGGGAACACAATGTTGAAATGATTCTTTTTTTAACGTTGCACCAAAAATGCAGTTGACCTGCAATTCTAGTAGGTATGGGGAGTGCATGTACAAACATAAAAGTTCACATACACATAACACCCAGACCCAAACCAACAGTTTGTAGAACACACAAAGACTTACTTACTTTTCCGTACGGAAATCGGACCCGCTACACGTTGCGGGCAGCAGGTTGCTGCGCAACGTGTGTCCTTCGGGGCCCCCTGAGGATGAGGGCTTTGGGCACGGGCCCCGAGTGCCCTTATGGTAAAGACGGTACTGCTCATAAAGATTGAAGGTTGAACGAAGAATAATATTCAATGCTCAATGTTTTGATTACACTATTTTCTCCTAATTAGGATTAGGAGAAAAGCTGTGTAATTAGGATTAGGAGAAACTAGTGTATAAGGTTTTCTTAGTCTCTATATAGCTTGATACACAGTCGCAAAGCTGCTGAAGAAGTTTGCATCATTGGTCACAAGAGATCTTGGGTTTCATTGTCTGGTCGAGTAAAAAAACCAAGAATGCTTTATGCTTTGCGCGACATACAATAATAACTGATGAACTGCTATTTCAGAGAATTTCAAAAAGTGTGACATTTTTTTAACTAACTACAGTTCAAACGGAAAAATCTATCGTTGGATGTACTTGAGCTAATTGATTCATACCAACTCCTAGATTTCTAGATAATAGAAATAGAAAATAAAACACATATGTATCGAAATAATAAATATAATCAAAGTACATAATACGATTCAATTTTGCAGTAAAATAACAATTAAATGTTTGTAGTCAATCTGATGACGCATACTCGGTACACTTAAGTCATTGAAGAAATAATATCACAATTCGCAGATCATTATTTTAATGAAATTCATATTTAAAGATTCAATTTGTATAAACTTTTAAGTACAATAAAAATATACTTTGATATAAAAATTTCAGTCCGATTATAGAAATCAAACTTTTTAATCCATTATTGCAAGAATTTTGATGGAAATAACTATTTTTATAAACAGTCTGAACTCTGAATTATAACATAATTTTCCCTTTTTCCCAGTCCACTTTTAGAGTGAATTAAATAAGGAAAATAGTGTCATCTCCGAATGAACTCATCCAACTAAGTTTAGTTGAAACATATTAAAAAAATATTTCCGAAAACCGCTCTTTATTTCCCACCACACGTGTTATAAATCTCAACAATACTTATCGAAGAAACTTCATCTTGATTAAAAACTTGTTCACCTAAAAGTGTAAAGCACATTTTTCTACTCAATATGAAATGTTTGAACAGGCACTATCTTTTATTTATACACAAACACTCCATTTTGGAGCCAATGTTAGGGCCATCATATTTGTACATTGTTCGTACTCTAAACGAGTTGACGCCCTTAACTATCATACATTAGGAACACGATTGGGGCCAACATTGGCCCCACATAGAGATAAAATGCAAAGCGAAAGTGTGCGTAATTTGACGATAGTCGTCAAATAAACAAAGAAATTATAAAAACTGACTTAATACAAGACGCATAATAATATAACCAACTCGTCAATTACTCAGAATATCAGTCTGAAACAACTTAAAGTCAGATAATAAAATAAATACTCGTAATAAATGGACCATTCACGAAACAAGTTTCAACTTGGAAAATTAATAAAATTATTTTTCTTATTTCATTATAAAAATATATAATAACACTAAAAATATCCATGTTTAACGGTGCAACATTGATCTATTTGTTACTTTAAAATTACACTTAATTCAACCATGTTTAGTCAACTGTACACATTGTTACTTACACTATACAAAAATGCTGGAAGTCTTTATATTGCTGAATTTAATACTTATTACTTATTTTGCTGTTTGCAATACTATCTTAATACCAAATAATTTTGAGATCGAAATGGCTGTCTTGGCATATGTTAGTTGTAAAAATATTTCGACAGCCTTTATTGCTTTGTTACCACATGTAAATACAAACAAACTTTTCACCAAAAAGGAATTTCTTGACAACATAAGGAACACAATTTAGCTAGGAACTCACGACAGCAGTCTGACGTTAAACTATTATTACTGGACTGTTATATTGTCCAGAATGTCACAAGCATACACAGGTATTTTTCTCTTCTAACCATTATAATACAATATCTTACATTAGACCAAGAAGTTCATACACAAGATACAACATAATCTTAAACAAAAGTTTAATCAACTCTTACAAACTTCAAATCCTGTGTAATGTTGTAGATATGTTGTTTCATATTCATATCTTCGTGTATAAGGTTCTTCATCATTTCTCCACGATAACGACCAACATTTCGGTCCAATAAACTTTAATATTCATAATAAAACAATAACAATGTGTACAGCCAACCAAAGTTTGATATAAAACCGCTCTCACTTCGCACTGGACCTCGAACAACGTTCATTTATTGCCTATGACTTATGAGATTACTGACACTGACACTTCAGTACATCACTTCGTAGACAGTCGCCTTTTTGTCACCAGAACCCGTCACTATGAACTTATCGTCCGCCGATATATCACAACTGAGCACCGATGACGACTCCTTGGACTGAAAAAAAATAACAAAAATTACAAAACATTCAACAAAACAATCGAAACCAAAATTCACATTTCTTTTACCACCAGATCACAATCATGCTCTTGTAGAGCATTTCACAGAATAATTCATAATGTGAAGAGAGGGGACTGTAGAATCATAAAAAGTTAAAGTAGAAATTGCAGTAGTCCAAAGTGATTCTGCTACAAGTTTAGTACTGAACAAGAATAAAGGTAACAAGAGATGATGTCATTCAATATACCTGGAATATACTAGCTCCATAAGGAGTGCGCCACGCATTAAGTAGGTTATCCTTCCCGGTGGAGACGAACCACTTCCCCGCGGCCGCGAACTTGAGCGACAGCACGCAGGACTCGTGCAGCAGGAGCTGGTAGCGGTCCGGCTTGCCCGCGTGCAGTACTTCCACGTGGGAGTTCTCCATGCCCACCGCCAACCACGAACCTGGACAAAGTTAAATTAATTTTAATTATAGTAACTAACAAGGCACTTTTAAAAATCAAACAAAATAATTTATGTTTGTCAGTCAGTCTTGTAGTGAAGTTATTTTTGTCAGTCAATCTTGTAGTTTTTTTTTTTTTTTTTTTTTTTTTTTATATGATGTGACCTCATGCGGTAACATCATAAAAAAATTACAATCTAGCTTTAATGCTAATAAGTAATTCTATTTTGTTTTAATTTGCTAGGAAAGTATAACTAAGAATGTGTCCATTAACACTTTTCTTATTGTCTCTATTAAGGGGAAGACACTTTGTTATTGTGTTCTTTGCCGGTAGCACTCACTACTTTACACTAACACTTCACTATGTTAACTCAAAAGGTTTTGTCCTTTTTAGCCTTCTCACTATGTCCGTGTTGTCGAGGAGCTGGATAGCCTCGATGTTCACATGGTGGTGAAGCCTTCGCTCATGGGCTTCTGCACACTTTTTAATTATATCTATGACGAGGTCTACTTTGAGGTCCCGATGAAGGTCGTCATTTCGAATGTACCAGGGCGCATTGACGATTCCTCTGAGTACTTTGTTTTGAAAACGCTGTATAATTTTGATATTGCTTTGTTTGGTACAGCCCCAAAGCTGAATACCATAAGTCCATACAGGCATGAGGACTTGTTTATATAAAAGAACTTTGTTGTGCACTGACAGCGAAGAATTTTTTCCTATCAGCCAGTACATCGACTTGTAGCGTAGATCTAGCTCGTCGCGTTTCTTTTTGACATGAACTTTCCAGCGAAGCTTTACGTCTAATGTCATGCCTAGGTATTTGGCTGTATTTTCGTATGGTATTACATGGCCATTTATGTTTACCGGGTGGTAATTTGTCCTTTTGTTTGTGAAGTCTATGTGAACAGATTTTGATTCATTTAGTTTCACACGCCATTTTTTTGTCCAGTCAAAAATGATATTGACGGCTGTTTGAACTTTTTCCACTGCTTCTTCTTGAGTGGCACCTATGGCCATAATAGCTGTGTCGTCTGCAAATGTGGCAATGGTATTGTTTTCTAATTCAGGAATATCGCAAGTGTACAATAAGTACAAGACGGGACCTAGGACGCTTCCTTGCGGTACTCCAGCTTTTATTGGTTTGAGTCCTGAATATGCATCACCATGTCTTACTCTAAACATACGCTGTGATAGATAAGACTCTAAGATGTCAGCAAATTGCTTAGGGAGCATGTTTTTTAATTTGTAAATAAGGCCTTTGTGCCATACCTTATCGAATGCTTGCGCTACATCCAGGAAGATCGTGGAGCAAACTTTTTTTTCTTCTAGAGCCTTTTCAATAATGTTGGTAATCCTGTGTACTTGATCTATAGTCGAATGTTTTTCCCTAAAACCAAATTGGTAGTCAGGGATCAAATTTCTTTCTTCTATGATGGGTTTTAGTCTTTTTAAAAGAAGCTTTTCAAATAATTTTGACATTGTCGGTAGCAGCGAGATCGGCCTATACGATGTTGTTTCGTGAGGTGGTTTACCAGGTTTTGGTATCATTATAACTTCGGCAACTTTCCACTGATCAGGTACATACTGAAGTCTTAACGTTGCATTGATATGAGTCGTAACTTTTACGATGGCTTTACGTGGGAGGTTTTTAAGAACTTCTGCAGTAATAAGATCGTAACCAGGTGATTTCTTTAATCTAAGGCGGTTGATTTCGTTGTACACTTCTCTAGGTGTTACGAATTTTATTTCTTGCTCATCATTATTTGATGTTTCATTTAATAAGTCGCTATCTTCATGCTCTTCATTTGGCTCAAAAATGAGTTCTAGATGTTTTGCAAACCTTATAGCTTTTTGCTCGTTGCTTATTGCCCACCGCTCGTTAATATCTTTGATAGGGGGAATGTGCAGAATTGGCTTTTTTAAGCTTTTCATAGATTTCCACAGAGAGTAATCTGTCGTGCGATGGCTGGTTAGTTGTTGTAGATAACTATTCATTGATTCGTCTTTGTAATTCTGAATTGCTTCACTTAGTTGTTTTGTAAGGTTGTTCAGAATTCTTTTATCTTGTGGATATCTTGTCTGATGCCATATTCGTCTCTGTCGCCTCTTTTCAGCAATAAGTTTTGTGATTTCTGCTGGATAGTAGGTAATTCTATTTTTTATTTTAAAGGTGGGCGTGTTTTTCCAGGCGCATTGTTGTATTTGTGTTATAAACTCACTGATATCCCAGTCCAGATCTTCTGGTTTCTTGAGTGGGACTCTTAAATCTATCATAGACTCCAAATCTATTTTAAAGCTTTCCCAATCAGTGTTCTTGTTTACCAATGTGGGGTTGTATTCTTTCAGCAAGATAGTCTCACTTAGAGTAAGTAATATAGGTGAGTGGTCTGAACTCATATCATAACCTTCTTCAATGCGAAGAAGACTAGGTGATATATTTTTGTAAATAAAAAAGTCTATAAGATCAGGAATCTTTTTTGTATCAGTAGGCCAATAAGTGGGCTTGCCTGTTGATAAAGTTTTACCTTGTGTTTCTTCAATGGCGCACAGTAGCTCTCTGCCTTTGGTCGTTGTCAGTCGAGATCCCCAAAATGTATTTTTAGCATTAAAGTCACCTCCCAATATGAATCTGTTTCCAAGACAGTTAAGAAAAGACATGTACTGATCTGTTTTTAGTGAATACCTAGGTGGACAGTATATGGCTGAGATGGTGATAAGACAGAATTTTGTTTTGACACAGACAGCCACTGCTTGTATTTCTTCTTTTTCATGTTTCAGTTTTTCGTAGTGAAAAATATTCTCTTTTATGATGACAGCACTACCACCTCTTGGTGTGTTATGAGGATGCAGTGCATGATATACTTTATACCCTTTAATTTGGATATGAGATTCTTTAGTGAAATGTGACTCTGATATAAGGCACACATCAATTCTTTCCATATTTAGGACTGCCGTAAGTTCATTCTGATGTTTCAGCAGTCCATTTGCGTTCCATGCCATAATTCTAAGTAAACTAGCCATTTATACTGCTTTTTCGTTGTTTGGCAGCTGTTTTAGTGCTGCTTTCAAGTTTTTTCAGCCTTTCGTCGAATGTAGTTAAAAGATTTATAATAGTATTAATCTTTTCATCCATGTTAGGGTTTATAGGTTTCATATGAGATTGTGGCAAAGATTGGACTCCTTTTGCCATTTGTGCATACGAAACACTTTTGGTGACAAGGTTGGTGACACTAGGTATTTTGTGTTTGATTATACTTGGACCCTGAGAGTTTGGTATCGGCTCATGCTTTTTGGTATTTTTATTTTTAATATTTTGTAGCTCTTTAGCTACTATGCATCCTCTATAGTTAGCCGGGTGGGGCTCACCACAGTGAATACATTTCGGTTTTGCTTCTGCAGGTTTATTGCAGTCTCTGGTTAGGTGCTTGCCTGTACACTTCACACATCGGGGTTCTTTGGAACAGTATTTCTGTGTGTGGCCATATGCTTGACACCTTTTGCATTGTGGAATTAATTTTGAAGTTTTTAAAGGCTGTATATCTACTTTACAGCCCAGTATGGATTTGATTCCGTAGATTTTCTTTATGTCTTCATCCTTTTGGAATGAGAGCATGAACATACTGAGGGGCTCTTTGCTCTTCCAACTCAGTTTGTTAACAGCATCTTCTATTTTAAATCCTTGAGCTGTCAGATCTTCAATTATTCTATTTGGCAGGCAGGAAGAATGAAGGTTTTTTGCCATCACCCTGATCGGCCTATCTTGTTTATTCTCATACGAGTACCAACAGCAATTATTCTGTAACAATAGCTTGGTGATGGATCTGTATGAGTCATCATTATAGGAGTTAATTTTAACTTTTTCTCCATTCATCATTTTCGTAACGAAAGAGTCTTTCGTTACATTAGTTGAAAGAAGGTCGTAGAACTCTTGGTAGTTCTTGACATTTTCCACAACTATAGGTGGTGGTGTGGGCTGTTTCTTTATTTTAGCTTCTTTAGTTTTCTGGCTAGGATCGTCTCCTTGTTGAGTTGGTGAGGACAGTGATGACGAGTTCAATTTCCTTTTTTTTCTGCTCTTCTGTCGTACCCACTCTGTTTCCTTTGCTAGTTCTTCTTCGTCTGTCTCATACTCGATTGGCATTGGCTTCTCGGTAGTGACATTTTTCTTGTCTGAAGTTTTTTGCTCCTGGATGGTTTTAAGCTGATGCTGTAGTTGTTCTAATTGGCTTTTGAGGTCATTTACTAAACTTTGCAACTTTTCGCGTTCTAACTTTTCTTCGGTATAATATTTATACAACAGATGTTCCGTTTCAGTTTTGATTTTAATTGAGGATGACGAAGCCATGATTATTAGAATAACTTCGCCTTAACACTTTGTTTATACAAATAATTGTGCAACACTTTCGGTAACTGGGTCATCGCGGCGACCGCGCACGGCTAGAGGTAATGAACGGTAGGCTGCTGCGTCAGCGCTACACTTGAACATAATCTAGCACGAATGTGTGCGACGCGACTATTCTTAGCGGAAGTCGATCGATCACCTTGTAGTGAAGTAATTTATTTATTCCATCGAGATTTTAATGGAATAAAAGGACATACATGCAGTCTCAATATCGTAATTTGAAAAATTTTTGATCTGACAAAATTCGATAAGTATAATTGTATGTAAATGTTTGTTCAGTGAAAAATTATTCGATTACCAGTGGGACAGTATCCGAGCGAGAAGATCTGACTGGAGAAGTCGTGCTGGTGCAGTTGTCGTCCCTCGCGGAGGTCCCAGGAGCGCACCGTGTTGTCGAGCCCGCCCGTCCACAGGCGCGTGCCGTCGCCACTGATGTCGATGCACGACGCGCCGTCCGTGTGCCCTGCGGAGTACAACTCTATGTTAACGTCTTATTCATGACCAGCCATGTCGTGCAGCCAACTGATTGTAGCTTGAAGCTCGCCGAGCTTTTCTCAATTTATTCACGTGAGTATGGCCTTATTTTATTATGTCTCATATAATAATTTATTATAATGTTCAGATTTGAGTACTTGCCTCAATGTATACTAATATTATAAAGAGGAAAGATTTGTACCTATTTTTGTATGTTTGTAATGAATAGGCTCAAAGAGTACTACTGGGCCGATTTAAAAAATTCGTACACCAATAGAATGCTACATTCTTCCAATTTGACATAGGCTACATTTCATTTTGAAAAAAATTAGGGATCCTTGGTAAAATTGGAACAAAGTAACCGAAGGTGTAGAAAAATAAGTCTTAAAATGTTTCATCGAATGCGTTGGCGAAACTATTAGCGATAGAACAAAATAATGTACAACAATATTGAAGATCATCATAATATCTACAAAAAACTCTGCGGTAGCATATGTCCAACTATTGTAGTTATGTCACTACAACAATCCAAAGGAGAGGGGGACTTCTGGGCCCAGCAGTTAACTACGTGAAATATGTCTCAAAAAACCGGTACATTTTTCTAAACAAAATTACAAAATATGGTACCAGGATTCTATCCAGGAAGCGAGATAACTTAAATTAAGATAATAAAACTAAATGATCGATTAAATAAGCCTTAGTTATCGATTTTTAATAAATCGCTAAAATCTGAGAATATTTGGCTGATCTTTTTTTTGTTGTGTTTGTTATTGTCAAGAGCGCTTTCTCGCTTGATTACGCGTACGAAGATGCGGGTAGAAGCTAATATGTATATGAATATCAATTCATTATCGATTTAATCGATTATAGTGTATTTTTTTTCTGACAACCCTTGTGCTTGCGTTTGATTGACAATGACTGACAGATGTCGGTTATTTGTTTACTTGATAGATTGTTTGAAAGAAAGAAAGAGAAAGAAAGAAAAATAATTTATTCGCCACCGACATGGACCACCGAATAACACACACACACAAAAAAATAATAAAATAAAATAAAAAACAATAAGAACAAAAAAATAATAACATACAAAAAACAGCAGTAAAAAATAAAACAACAATGAATGCAAAAAACATAAAAAAGCAAAATAAAAAGAAAAAAATAAAAAAATCAGGGTGGCAGCATGTCCGCGACGAAAGGGCTCGCCAACTCAGTTTGAGCTGGGCACAGTAAGTACCCAACACTGGTTTTCAGTTGGCACCCCTGCAGTGACACACGGACGGAAGCAACGAAGAATAATTTTAAGGAAAATAAAATAGTTACATAAGACACATGTTAAAAAATATAATGATAATAATAAAATAAAAGGAAGAATAAAAACAGACCTCTAAGTATGTACATTGTGCGATAAATAAATGAATAAAAATGAGTATGCATACATAAACAAGTGTAACGTGTACCGTCACCGAAGGAAAAAAATAATAAAAATAAAATAAATTTATAAACTGTATCACGACAATAAAATTAGTGTGGGAATGTCGTGAAGCCACCGCGCAGCCCGACACTCATTGCGCGAAGTTGAAGCGAGAGACAGGTCGGTACTTCGCCAGCACTGCGGCAACAAGGGGCCCAAGGGTGAGTTTTCGAGATATGCTACATTACAATAATACTGAAGTTAATAAATAATTATATAAATAAATCAATATGAAAATGTGAAAACATAATTTGTGTACCCAGTTAAACAAAAAAGAAAAAAAATATATATAAGAAAGATAAGTGTTAGATTAAATAAACGAAATGTCAATATTTATAGATTCATTCTCAATTTGAGAATTAATAATAAACTCCTTGAGTTTTCGTTTAAAAGTGAATGGGCTTTGCAGGTTCCTGATTGGCGGAGGTATGTTGTTCCAGCACTTAGAAGCTGCATATCGGAAACTACCCCGAAAAGCAGCCGATTTGTGTTGCGGTATAGCCAGCTGTTGTGCACACCGCCTACCCTCCCGCTGCCGATGAGCATTCACCCACGAGAGCTTCGAGTAGAGGTATACTGGACACTTATACTTAATCACACCAAAGAGGAGACATGCCAGGTGGAGCTTACGTCGGGACTTCATTTTTAGAAGATTATACTTGTTTAAGTAAGGTGTTATGTGACTCCTAGGTGGAATTTTAAAACAAAAACGCGCGCAGGCATTCTGAACCCTCTGTATCAATCGCTCAGTGCGTGAAAACAGTCTAGGTCCAATAACCGCGTCAGCGTAGTTTAGCTTGGATAAAACCAACGACTCAACCAGCCGCACACGCAACTCCTCACTTAGATACGGACGCATTCTGTATAGTATCTTCAGGCGGTAAAAACAGTTTCTGACGCAGTTTGAGATGTGAGATTCAAACCTAAGACCTTGATCCATTATCAGACCCAAATTTCGCGCTTCATCGACACGCTCAATGATTTGACCCCTCAAGAGAACGTTAATATTACTAGGAGTCTTGTAAAGTTGCGTCTTTGTTCCGAAAAGCATGAATTTTGTTTTGGATGGATTTAAGATGAGGCAGTTATTGCTTGACCAGTTCACTATCCTGTCGAGGTCCTCATTAATTGAATTCACAGCACTCGCGTATTCTTCCGGTCTAAAGGACAAGTAAATCTGTATATCGTCAGCGTAGATATGATATTTACATGTTTTTATTATATTGATGATGTCAGCACAATATAATAGGAATAGGGTAGGCCCTAAAATGGATCCTTGGGGAACTCCCTTCGTCACAGGTTTCACCTCAGAAGCCAAGAAAGATCCATTAGCATCGCGAAATTCAACCAGCTGCGCACGGTTGCTGAGGTAACTATCGAACCATTTAATTGTTGGTATGTCAAATCCGTAGTACGCCATTTTAGAGAGTAATAGGGATAAATTGATAGCATCAAATGCCCTCGAGAAATCCAGCAGGACCAATATAGTGCACAAACCCTCATCCTGCGCAGCCAGTATATTGTCAGTGACGTCCAACAAAGCCGTGGCCGTACTACGCCCCCTCCTAAAACCAGATTGCGCATCCGGCAGAACACTGCTGTCCTCTATAAATTTGGAGACCTGTTCGTTTACCACCCTTTCCAAGACCTTAGACATTAAGGGTAGAATGCTAATAGGCCTTAAATCCTTAAGTTCGCCAGGATTGTTTACTTTGGGTAGAGGACGTACCTTAGCCAATTTCCAGGCGCCCGGAAAAGTTGCCGTTACTATGGAGGCATTTATAATACGCGTCAGGACATTCAAAGTTTGTGGTATTGTTAACAAAAACATATTCAGTGCTATCTGGTCACAACCTTCAGCATTAGATTTTAGGCTGGTTATTATCCTTAGAATCTTCATGTCATCGGTTGTATTAAGGGAGAGGATGCAATCAGAGAACCTATGAAATTCATAGTAGGTGTAAGTCGACAGGGAAGTAATTGTATCGCCGGGAATATTCAAAAAATGATCATTTATTTTGTTTGGGTCATTGAAATGTGCGGGTAGTTCATTATCAGACTTTAGAGGCAGCAAGGTGGATTTTAAATTCTTCCAAAGCCTCTTCGGATGTTTGATGTTGTTATTAATATTTGATTTGAAGTAGGCTACTTTTTCAAGGTAAATTGATTTAGTTACTAGACTCTTTAAATCCGTATAGTATTGTTTTTTGTGAGTTAATGTGTTATTAATTCGGAATTCCCTATAGGCTTTGTCTCGAAGTTTCATCATGAGTTTAATGTTTTCTGTAATCCATGGATAGGATCTATCCCTCATCCTAACACTCCTGCGAGGTGCAAATGTGTCAAACAGACACAGTAAATTGTTTGTCAGACAGTATACCATATAGTCCACGTCGTGAGAAGAAACCACCCCACGCCAGTCGATCGCGTCCAGAGCGTCTTTCAGATTTTCTAAGTCAATGTTTGTTTACTTTCATTCTGAGTGCGCACGTATTTTTCTTATATTATATTGTTTAAATCCACGACCTCGGCTTTGCATATTATAACGGACTATTCGACGGATCTTGCTACTCTGAATTACCTGACTCTCTATTTTGGACAACTGTTACACCTATCGATTGGATATCGACGACATGGAACGCTGTATAAATTGTACGATTGCGATTGGTCGCAGTAATCCTATTGGGAGAAAAGTCTTGGAGAATGAGTCGATTTTAACAGTTATTCGTCAGTGGCGAAGTGAGTGATTCAAAAGTATTTCAGAAATTACACAAAAAAATCACAATGTTATACTATAACCTAACTTTTACTATAATTCAGATAACTTGGTTTCTAGCAAGCCAAATTTCACCAAATTCTCAGTTAAGCCTTGATATTATATCCTCTTACATATAAGGCTAATTTCATTTAGTTAACACCTGGGCCCAGGAATCTATGGAGCCATTCCCTTCTCCTTTCCACAAAAAAGTAATTTTCTACCCCGTGCGAAGCCGGGACGGGCTGCTAGTCATAAATAAACATAAATAAATTATTTTGACTTTTCAATACAATATTAAAAAATAATCACACTTTCATTAATTGATTTTATGGTCAACTTTATTTTAGTAGTTTTTCAATATTTTTTTAAGAAATAAGTATGCTGGGTTGGAAACTGTCGTTTTTGTCAGTTCGATAAAAGTATTGAATTTGATTAATTAGTAAGTACCCAATTTTTTAAAATCGAAAACTATAATATTTTTTACCTTGATCTTGAAACCGAATTGAATGCAAGACATAGGACTAGTTGTGCAGTGACATACCTTGGAATTGTCTAACTAATGTTTGGTTCTGAAGGTCCCACACTGCAATGTTGCCATCTGAACAACAGCTGAAGCACACCTATACAATAAAACACAACATTAATATTTATATTTTACCACATTTTTACTTTTCGATTTCGATGTTGATTTAGAAACCTAACATACCTTGGAGTCTGGACTGATAGCCAGCGCGTAACACGCGGGCGCGGAGGAGGTGAGCTCGGCGCGCATGCGCGGCGTGGGCGAGGCGAGGTCCCATATCGACAGGTTGGACGCCTCGCCGCCCACTATCAGCGTGCGCCCGTCCGGCAGGAGCTTCACTGAACGGATATAGTTGTCTCTTTGCTGGAACACAAAAATGATAATATGTTCAATATTTTTATTATAAAGATATACAGACAATTCCTTAATATTTTTTTTTTGTTTGTTAATATTACAATGAAAAGCGGTCACTCACGCAAGAAAAAATCTTTAATGTTTTGTAAAAGCTTCGATATTCAACAATATTTATGTTTTTGTGTTATTCGGTGCCCTGTTTGGTATTACAATCAAGACCGAGACTTACCAAACAATCGAGCTGCGACAGCGGCTCGAGGGCGGCGGGGGAGCCCGGGTTGGATATGTCCCAGAGCTTGACGCATCCCTTGCCGCCGGTGTAGGCGTGTCGCGCCGCGCCGGCCTGCGACAGCGCCACGGCGCACACCACCTCGCCGTGCGGCAGCGCCGCCACCGCGCGCGCGCCCCGCGGCACGCCCGCGCCGCCCAGCGCGTCCGCCGGGAACCCCACGGGCTGCAGCGGCCCGCCGCACGAGTGGTACGAGTACGCGCTGTATGCGAACGATACATACACACATCAATATGACCATATTCCATACATAAAACTTGCTAAAATACAGCTATGAGCTTCCCAGCTGCATAATTTATTTATCTACACGTCATTTGTTTATAATCTATTGTATTTATCTCATGCAAGTTCACATGCACATCACACCCACCCAGAAACAATAGAATTATTCTGTGCGAGAATCGAATCTGTGTCACGCTGTGCAGCAGTCGATTGCTATTATATTATACATACAAATCTTCCTCTTAAATCACTATTCATCTATTAAAAAAACCGCATCAAAATCCGTTGCGTAGATTTAAAGATCTAAGCATACATAGAGACAGACGGCAGAGAAAGATTTTATATTATACTGTGTAATGATTTTTACCCAGTGCTACATTAGTACATTAAAAATCCCAGTAATCTGGAATTTTGCCCGGTATATGGCAATAGGCTCACCCCCTATTACATGGGACTCATAACGTACATAGTGAAAAGTGGGTGTTACATTGTACAGTGGTATTGAATGCCGTAAAGTGCACCTCTGCCTACCCCTTCGGGGTTAAAAAGCGTGTTGTTATGTTGTTTTTATCTCTCTTATATTGTATTGATATCTCCGTCTTCCTTTCGTTCCATTCGCTTAACATAACTTACAGAAGAAACAAGAAAAACAAATTTTTATTACTTTTAATCACTAAATTTAATTACCTACTCTATAGAATACACTTTGGAAAATTTTATTTCACTTTCATTACTATCTTGACAAAAAGCAGTTAATATGTTTTTGATATACTCACGGTTTAGTGGGCGCGATCCCGTTGGTCCTGTGATGTTGGTCGTAGTGCATGGGTAGTGGCGGCGCGGGCGCGGCCGCCCTGTACGCGGCGTACGGCGGGAACGGGTACGCGCCGCCACGCCCGCCCGTCGGCGTCGGCGCGCGAGCTAGCTTACCGCCTGGCGTGCCCGGCTTCTCCTATATCCAACATTATATTGCATCAGCTTTTATATTCGCCTAAGTAGAGTACCCACTTGCCGTTGTTGTGAGAATTTTCATCGAAATATAAATACATTACTTATTCCAACTCAGGAAGTTAACTCGAGATACCATTTTCTCACATAAAATCACGACAACATTACAAAATAACAGGTAACGAGACATTCAATACAGATATAATCCAACCAACTCACGTCTTTGGAACTCTTCGGCGTGGAGCGACTGGACGAGGAGCCAGACCTCGAAGGAGGTCGCGGACCATTCTCTGTTCTCTCGCCACCCTCAGTGCGAACACTCGGTGACCCTCTTTCCTCCTACATCACAATTACAACATGTTATATTTACTATCAAATACAGATAAAAACACGATACAAAGCTTCTTCTACATAAACACCATGCCTGTTTTTCGTTGGACAAATAAGTAGATGTAAATATGATTACAGATTTGTTCTAAGAATACAATAAGAAGCTGAACACAGTAATACTAACTTTAGTTTAACTTATATTTGTTACATAAGAAAAGGTTATTAGAAATTACTTTATGTAAATTGTGTTTCGTAAAAAATATATTCATGACAAAACATAACTCATTGTTATAATTGAAACGAAATTGGATTATTTAACACAATTTATTTTATTGGTTTTACAGAGAACGAAAGAAGTAAACAAAAATGATAAATAATTGAACAATCGAGTTGTAAGACAAACAGTCAATACTTTGTACTTGTTTACACTACAAAATGGCAGCAAAATCTGAACACTCATTTCATAAAAACACAATAAGGCATACTAGCATTCATTAAACATGCACAATGTTACAAACAACTATTATTAGACAAAATGTACTGCAAACAAAAACAGGGAAAACATTCAGAATAGCATTCTCAACCTTGAAGTCGTGAGATCTGTGCGGTAACAGAATACTAAGTCGTTACCCATCTTACCTCATTAGCCACATCAACAACAAGATCTTGATCACTTTTTTCAGCATCGCTGTCCTAGAAATGTAATTGAACAATTAATACTAATATTTACTAATATATTGCTTAAGAAAACAGCAATAACATTAATTTACGGGTATTGTTCCAGCCATAGTTACCAGCAACATGTCGTACAAAGCATCTGTTTAAACAAGCAGTCGGGACAGACGGTTTCTGCTGGTTTACTGTTAAGTTCTGCTACGAAGAAAGACGACCATTTATTTTTAGAAAATAGTAATGAGTCATTTATTAAACAAAAATTTAACACGAAAGAGAAATTTCGATAACAGATAATAAAATAAACAAAATGGAAGGATAATCGATGTCGGCCAACCCATGACAAAATGGGTAAATAATCTCATACCACAAACACTGCGCGAAAACCGCAAAATTACAAGAAAAACCTAACTACTAACAGAAGGTAAACACAGGTAACATTATATTTTTGCCCAGCAACAACCGACTAAACGGTAGACGAGTAAAACAGTGAGAAAAGCAACGTGTATGAAATAGAAGCCGACACATACACTACATAAACTCACATGACCGAGTACCTTCTCCTCCTTTCTCCGCTTCACGTCCAGCGCCTCCGGCTCGACCGGCGAGCGCGGCCGGTACTTCTGCTCGCGTTCGTGAGGGGATACCGATCTCCTTTGCTTTAACAATAAATATGTTATGTTTATGAATAGAAAATATCATCAAATAAGTTAAACCTCTTCACTACATAGTATAAAACAAAGTCGCTATCCGCCGTCTGTCTGTCCCTATGTATGCTTAGATCTTAAAAACTACGCAGCGGATTTTGATGCGGTTTTCTTTAATAGATAGAGTGATTCTTAAGGAAGGTTTATATGTACAATACATGCATATTGCACCCGTGCGAAGCCGGGGCAGATCGCTAGTATAAGCCTATTTGCAATCCCCCAAGTAGTACAGCAGGACCACGTTTTCTTTTTTTTAAATAAATAACAGGTATAGTTAGCTTCGTTCTCAGTTCAGCAGTCGAATAATTTAGACTGTTGATGATACTGATATCATTGAATTCATTCTAAATACATCTAACCCACTTGCCATTAGAAACTAGACCGGCACTGACCAGCGCATATACATATACATCATATTTATCATATCATTTGTATTATTATCATACTGCTTTTAAATTATAATACAGCACAAAGTAAATTGATTAAGTGAACAATACCATGGTCCATTATTTGTTTGTTTTTCATCAGTTGTTTCAATGTATGTCTTCCAACAACTATATCAATATCATGTAAGTATTTGCGACTTTTTATTTATTTATTAATTTAAACATATTGCACTCTGACTATCAAACAACTGAAATAATGATTATGATCATATAATACCGTTTTATTTTTTTGCACATATACGAATTTTTACGTTCTCTCGCCTTTAAGCCATCCCTAGTCTTTCAAAACTATTTATGCTAAAACCAATATGCTAAAAAATATATCCACGTGTTTCCATCAGAGCAGTAATTATCGTCTCACTTCGTACCGTTGTGATGTTACCATTTCGAGTGCGAAGTTCGCGATAGTTTTAAGTTGTTTTACAAAATAAATAATACCTGTTGTAGCACCCTAGAGCTGAGCCTGTCGTCGTCTCTGGGCGGTGGCTGGCCGGGCAGCAGGGGGGGCGGCGCCGGCCCGCCCGGCAAGACTGGAGGCTTTATGTCCGCCGGAGGGGGGAGCTCCACCTGAACAATGGCAAATTAGTATAATACAGACAGCAAAACAATAAGTTTATAAGTCTATTACAATTCAATAAAGTTAAAAATGATGAAGTGAAATAAGCAATTTAGTACAGATTGTTTATGGTAAGATTTGAACTAACCAACCAACCAAATGATCAGTAATTTGATTCTTTTGTAATAAAAATATATGTTACTTTCTTTTACAAAGTCTGTCTTCCAGATGTTATTCATAATTTAATGATATATATTTGTCCCCATATGTATCTAAATTATGGAATGACTAATAGACTTTTTGACAACCAAAAATGCGTCTAGTCTTAAAATGATTTAACCTGATTATTTTAACATCATTATCATAGAGTGGTTCATACCTTATGTGCGGGTGGGGGTAGATGTGGCGGGGGTGGGGGCCCGCCCCCCGGTGCGAACAGCAGCCCCCCGGCCCCCAGCAGC